GATGTTGTTTAGCTGTCGTGGGGGAGATAATCTCTAACAACAACCAAAGACGATAAAGGAACAAAGCAGATGTTCCCTAGTCTATCAGTTTAACAGACGGGGTCATAAAAACTCGTCATGATTTCATAATCTCAGTTATTATTTGCTGAATCAAAGGAATCAAGCCAGGTTTATGCACATATACATATGTATATGTGCATAAACCTGGCTTGATATATATATATGAACACAAAACGTAAGCGTTTGATCGATTAGTTCAGAAATGATCACAATAGAAACACTTTTCCTTGTTATATCTGAATTATTCGACGTTACAGCAGATCTGCCATCAGTGTCTCACACAGGGAGGGAAATGACTCGATTCACAGGCACGTGAGGATTGAACAGGACTGATTGGTTAACATCACCTTCATGGTCCAACCAGGACCAATCATTTTATTTAATCTTGGATTTATTTGGTTTTGTTTCTTATCATGATAATTTGACATTTTCTGGACATTTTACCATGAACTCTGGGACAGATGTTCAGTGTTCCCACAGCATGAATGTAAGATTTTAAGCGAGGGGTGTCAAACATGAGCCCCAGGAGCAGAACTCAACCCAGCAAAGACTCACAGCTTTAGAATATGAAGGAATGCATAGATCCTTAATTTTAACTGTATTTTCATGACTTTTACAGCTTTTCTTATTGATAAAGACCACGCAGCCACCCTTAACCACCATACTACACCAAGTGACATTTTCAACCAATTAATAAATAAACAATGCTTTATTTTTCTACAACTATAGGACAGTCTGAAGTATAAAGAACCAGAACTTTTTCTGTAACGTTACACATCTGGCCCACGATGTAAAACGAGTTGGACATCCCTGATTTAAACCTTCTGTGATTCAGAGACAAACGACTGTAGTTTCAGTTTAAACTGAAACATTTTTGCAACGCTTGGGTTGACAGGCCATTTGATTGTCGTGAAGAGCGAGAGGCGGGCTGTGAAACTGAGGGATGCTGAATGTTCATTGGTTACCCAGTGAGTAAATTATTTTACCTTGGTTTTTCTGCCTTTCTGACTAATGGAGACCATAACCTACATCATCAGTATCACAATGTAGTCATGAAGACAAGAAACTAGAAGCTGAGCCCTTGAACTCATCATGGCTCAGCAGGGCCATCGTCTCACAGTCGCCGCCCCCTTTTGGTCATTAAAATAACTGCGTTTTGTCTCCTTTGTTCAAACCTCCAAGCCCTGTAAAATAAAACACTTCATGAGAGCACCAAGTGTAATCTAATGGACCCTTTTAAAAATTAGACCTGTCTTCAGAGGAGCTCACGGACGCGTGTTTCTCTTTCTTCAAAAGGACATCATGACCTGTCTGTTATCACGTATCTCACGTTCGCCTCAGGGTCGTCGTGTCTGTCCTCACTTCCATCTCCACTGATTAAACCGACGGCTCCTGCAGGTTTTTCAAAGACGGTGAAGCACTTCGAGCGTCCGATTAAAACATGTTTTTAAATTTAAGACCTCATCCTGATTCGGCTTCTACTGCAGAATTAATCTCGTATCAAACACTCAAATTAACGTTTATATTAAACACTTAAAGTAAAAGAGTAAAACCAGACTCTAATGAGGTTTCTACCTAAACAGTGAACAGTCAAACTTCCTCTGCATTTAAACACAATTAAAACAAAGACTGAAGCTGAACTCCACTGCAACGAGAATTTAGTTTACAATTGTGCACAAAAAATAAATAAATCACAAAATATTTTTCCCTTATTGGTGGAATTTTAAAGCCTTTCAACACGTTTTTGAATCAGCTGTTTAAAGACTTGTTTCAAATCTCCATGTTTCTACTTTTGGACTCTGCTTAAGGAGCTTTGCATGATTGACAGTTCGAAATAATCCTTACGTAGTTCCCATCCCTTAAAGAAGAATTGCTTAAAACAGAGCTGTGAAATGTAATGTTAGGTCTTTAAAGCCACGCCAAAAGCAAGATCTGGGTCACGCTTTCACACGGCGTTAACATTTTTGTAGTGCTCTCCTCCAAATCAGCAAAAATATTTTGATCTG